GAAAAAAATGTTTAATTTGCTTGGACGAGAATACAAATGAAAACTACACTTGAGATACCAATTCTCTCCATTAGTTTGGCAAAAATTCAAAAGCTGACAATAAACTCACTGGTAGGGTTGTGGGAACATGCACTCATACATTGCTGGAGAGAAGGTGAAACAGTACAACCCCATAGGGAGAAGAATTTGGCAACATCTAACAGATCTATACATGCACTTGGCCTGAAGATACACTTCCAACAATACAAAGACACATTTGCAAAGTTTTAAATTATAACATCATCAGTAATTGGAAATTACTTAAATTTCCAGGTAAGACATTTGTTGGGAAAAAAACAAATCATGGTACATACAATGGAGTACTATGCAGTTAAAAATTAAAGTGACTTAGCTGCATGTGGTGGTGCACACATGTAATTCCCAGTACTGTGGGAGATAATGGCAGTAGGATTAGAAGTTTGAGCTCAATATGGGCCACTCAGTAAAACCCTACATCAAAATTTTTTTAAAAATCCTAAAAGGCAAGAAATGTTGCTCAGTGCAAAGATCCTGGGTTCAATCCCCCATATTAAAAAAAAAAGTTATTTAGATCATGTGTATTATTTCTCAAAAAGCTACTAAGATGTTAGACAGTAAATTATTTGGACTAACTACTTAGTAAATTAAACTGCCAGGTGTGTTGATCTAGCGATGAAAAAATTACTGATATAATAAGAATGTCAAGAACTGAGAAAGTTGGGGAAGTTCTGATAAAGGCTTATGAAGGCACTTAACAGGAGCTGAGAGAAGAGAGGGTGTGTCTGTTTGTGTAGTTCTGAGGTAACTATGGAGTAAGGTAAACCAAATAGGCTTATGAAAGCACTCTCTTTAGAGTAGTAAGTACTGGAACTAAAGACAAGACAGCACACAAGAAATGCAACGAGTCCAGACTTGAAGATTTCTTTCTTTCTTTCTTTCTTTCTTTCTTTTTCTTTCTTTCTTTCTTTTTCTTTCTTTCTTTCTCTCTTTCTTTCTTTCTCTCTTTCTTTCTCTCTCTCTCTCTCTCTCTCTCTCTCTCTTTCTCTCTTTCTTTCTCTCTTTCTCTCTTTCTCTTCCTTCCTTCCTTCCTCTCTCTTTCTTTCTTTCATTTTTTTACTGACTGACTGATTGAGGGATGGGTCCAGAAAAAAGAGCTAATTGACATGGTTTTCAGAGGCATAACCTGAACTGAGTCCGAAAGCCTAGTTAGAGTGGTAGACTGGGAGAAGGAGTGGCTAGCACTCCAAAATGGGAGAAGGAAAAAATACTAACATTCCAAGAGCTTCGCACAGCTGGAACAGTAAGTACTATGCAAGAAAGAAGAGGTCAGACAGCTGATTAGGTAAGGAGCACATCTGGAGGGTTTTGCACATGATTAAGGATAAAAGAAGTTTGATTTTATTAACGGGCAAAAAGGAGCTGCAAGATGTTAAAGGAAAAGATTAGATTTTAAGGAAAAGATTAGAGAGGGCCAACCATAGGACAGAAGGCAGCTGCAGTATTCCAGAATAAATCTACACAAGGTGTGTAGGAAAACACTTGCAATTCTGGGTGGTAACATCTACTTTCAATGGATTACTATGCTAATTACTCAACTGCAGAAAAAAATAGAGATCCTGTGGCTTCTATGGCTACAAGCATGATCTTTGTGGAATCTAGGAATCTCTGTCCCATCTTCACAATGAAAGCATGTCCTAATCTCACTGTTTTACTGTTCAAAACGACACTGTCAACCCTGATACTCAGTTTCAAAAAGTGAGTTCAGCAAGGAAACTGAATTCTAGACTGTAAGATTATGTGTGTCATGTATTGGTCTCCAGCATCTAATACAGGACACTAGCCGTGGAGGCCTTTAAGGAAAGTATCATAATATTTTATGGCAGCCTGCTTTTTTTTTGGCTTGTACAGACTACTGTTGACTTTGGGGAAGCAAGTCTTCACCTTATATATAATTAAATCAAGGATGCAAATTCTCTTCTAAAATTTACTCACACAGCTTTGGGAAAGCATCTAAGAGCTAAAGAAAAAAGAACTGCTTCTTACGGGGGGGACTAGAGAATGAGCTGTGTTTTACTTAGAACTGTATCTTTTTTTCTCTTTGAACCAAGAGGCGAACACATTCTTCAAATTAAGCCTATGAAAAACTGCATTAAAAAAAACGCACAGGCTTAGAAGGAACGAAGGGCATTCTCTTTGCACTGAATAGCAATTAGACCACTAACAAAAGTTCTGCAATCCTCAAGTTGCCATGCTAAATCCAAAGAGAAACATGATTCATGGCTGCAGTGGTCAGAACAGACCTGGCACACCTCTGCTACTATATCTGTAGGCACAGTGGGGATAAAGAGGAGAGCAGCTGCTGTTGTTTAAGGCCACCTGGCCAGAGTCACTGCTGACCCTGGCCACACGTGATGGCCAAGAGTGCTGAGATCAGTATCTTCACTTTCCTCAAGCTCAGCTCCGTCAGAATCATCTTTTCCTCCCTTTTAGGGTTAACAGCAACCCTCACTACTCTCAGAAATCCTTATTTTATTTTCAAACCCAGGCTCCACTACACACTAGCCAGGGGGCTGTGTCTCTGGCAAACAACTGCAGGCTGTGTTAGGAAAGTATGGAAAAAGTCTCCATCTTGCAGAGGTATGTGGCGATTAGAAACAATGTAAGCAAAGCTCTAATCACAGTGCTTGGCAGGAAATCAATAGATGGGAAGTATTATTTATTACCAAGGGGGTTACTGAATTAAAGAGGTGAAAAATCTAGAGTCTATATAGTGGTCATGTTGCTGAGACATGAAATGGCAGGCTTTTCTCTCCTTTGTCTAAGAGTTCGAACATTTTACAAAACACTGAAAATCATGAACTGTCTTCCCTCCATCTTTGAAAAGCGTATTTTTCCTCATTAACATTAATAGCTTCTTATTCCAATACTTTAAAAGTGATTTGCCCTTGCCATTCATATATTAAAGAATACAAGTGTATATACTGTTCAGAGACACATACATAAGAAGCGATACTGAAGCCAGGGACTGTGACACACACCTATAAATGCCAGCACTCTAGGAGGCTGAGGCAGGAGGCAGGAGCTCAAGTTCAAACCCAGGCTGGGGAATTCAGCAACTTAGCCAGATCTGGTCTAGGGAGAGAAAAAAAAGAAAAAAAGGCCCTGGGTTCAATCCCCAAGTACCACCCACCACCTAAACAACAAAACAAAACAAAGCAAACAACAAAAATGATTCTGGTATGTTTATTTATGTTCTGTAGAAAGTGAGTTTCTACAGAAACTTTGGAAAACCAACACAGGAGTGCCACTAGACACTGGGCAGGAAAGAAGAGGCTAGCACTTTGTTCCGATTTGGACCACAACCATCTATAAACAAAAATGTTCCCTCATAAACTGTCAGTAAGATTTTTCTCTGTAAGTCAGCCTTTCCCCCTCTTTTATGAAAGCCCTGCAAGGAAAAAAAAAGGGTGTTGCAACGAAGTAAAAGATACAGATGACTGCATACTCAGCAAACACCAGAGAATAGCAGCTGGATCTCGAGAAAGAAATGTGTAAGTGGCTACTGGTAAATCTTATCAAGGTCACATTAGATAGCAGAGGACTTCAGGCATCAGTGAGAAGAAGGAGCCACTATAAGCAATCCTGTGATGTACCACGTTCCCCACACAGTATTAACTCCCCAATTCCTCCTTTTGATTAAAACAGGGTACAGTTATTAATGCCAAACAAAAACGTAATGCCCATCACCAGGAAATCTCTTCCTCTTAACCGTGGATATGCTCAAACTGTAAGCACTGAACACTGGAATACAAGTTATTACACTGCCCAATAACAATCCCCCAAATATAATTTTAACCTTTCAGGGAAGGGTAGAGTTTTGGGGATTGTTCCTTAATCTTGTTGAAGAACAGAAAGGCAAAGCAAAATCCACAAGTGCCAAGAACCTCAACCAAACGAACAAACACTCTAGGTCAATAAAATAAACGACACTTCTGGAAGGTGAGATCACCTACACATCCATCAATTCATTCATTCATTCATCCCGTGCAAAAAACACTGTGTTCTAGATACACTGCGCTGAAACACTCAAGACAAAGCTCCTGCCCTGAAAAAAATTCAACATCTAAAAACATTTTAATGGAGTCAAAAACAGGCCAATCTGATACATTAACAAACATAAGCTAAAAGGAAGGCCTTCGACTGTGAGAGTTTCCTTACTAAATGTGCTATCCTATTTTTGGAACGGTTATTAAAGTTGCAATTTACTTCCGTGGAAAGAATGATGAACTCAGGACACACGTTTTATAAAGGTTCTTTTCCTCGCACACATCAGACTACTGTATTTTATAGGGCGTGGCACTGGAGTTCTCACATAACCTCAATGACACTCGACTGAGCTCTCACAAGTCTGGACATTCAGGTTTCCACGCAAAAGCCAGGGAACTCCCTAATTCCCTCTAAACCTCTAAACAACGCTGCCACCTCCGCGCGGCCCCCCCACCCCCTACTTCCCAACACAGGTGCCCAGGCTCAGGCAGAAAAATCTCACCTTCCACTTCCAGAAACAGCGGAAGAAAGGCCCCCACCCAGGTACCTCCATCCTCTCCTCATTTCTAAGGCTGGGTCATCCTACCAGACAGAAGCAGCTCAACCTCTGCAGCAGCCCAAGGCCAGCTGTTCAGCTCAGTGAGGAGCGTCTCATGACTTCGGTCCCCAAAGCCGATCCTATCCGCACATGAGCCCGGGCCGGCGGAGGCTCTAGTGCAGACGAGGGGTGCAAAGGCAGGAAGGGAGGAGAGAAGGGTGGAGGGAGCGGGGGACTGCGGCGGCGCCAGCTGGGAGCCCCCAGGTCGCGGGCACCGCCCGGGCGGGGACCTCAGTGCCACCGGCTGGAGAAGCGAGGTGACCTTCCGAGAGGCCGCCCCGAGGGGCTGCGGGCGCGGGGACTTCGCTCCCGGGGCGCATTCGCCGCACAGCCGCGAATGCGGTGCCGGGGTTCCAGCGCCCGGGACTCGTCCCGCAGCCTGGCCCGAGAGGTGCAATCTGGGCGTCCGGACTCCTCGCCCGGGCCTCGGCAGCCGCCGCCCGGACACACCCCCGCCGCCGCCCCGGCTCTCCTGGCCCCGGGGGCATCGCTTACCTGTGTGCGGCAAGCCTGTCCGCCGCCCGCGGGCTCCAGAAGCCGCGGCTGTGCTGCCTCTGACCGGAGGCTCCGCGGCCCTTGTCGTCTGGGAGAGTCTGCGCCCAGAGCGGCAGGAGCAGGAAGAGGCAGAGTCCGACGGGCGGCGGCGGAGCCTGGGCGGCTGGAGGAGGAGAAGGAGGAGGACTCGGAGCTCCGCTCAGGGGAGAGCCACCCTCCTCCTGGCCGCTCTGCAGCAGCCGCCGCCGATCACTTCCGGGCCGCCGGGAGCGGGGCGGGGCCGACCGGGAGTACTTCCGGCCCGCGGGCGCAGAGCGGAGTGATGGCGGTCAGGGCTGGAGAACAAAGGCTCTCGAGGGCGCGGGTTGGCCGGCCTCCGCCCCCTGTGTCTCTCACGGGCGGCCCTTCCTTCGACTCTGCGCTCGGGGAGGTGAAGTCACCTCCCGGGGGTCCGGGAGTGGCCCCGGGCCTCGCGGAGGTTCTCGGGTCGCGGCGTCCTGTCTTCTGCTGGGGACCGGGAAGAGGTTCTCGGGAAGGGAGGGGAGGCCGCCATCTTGCTTGCTGGGGGCAGCCTCTTCTCCCCAGGCGTCGTTGGGCGGGGGCCGCTGTGTCTCGGGGCCGGGATTTTCCCGGTGTGACGTGGCGTGTCGTGGTCTTAGTCTTAGGTGGCGGCTGGACGCAGGTTCTGGTTGGGGGTTTCGGGGCTCTCCAGCCTCGGGAAACCGCCCTCGCCGATGCTCCGCGGCTGCTTCCGAGGCGCGCAGGTCGCCTTCGTGCAGCAGGTGTGATGTCGGTGTGGCGCCGAGATCGCCCTGCGGCCCACAGCGCAGATCGAGTGGCATAAGTCTTTTCACTAAGTTGGCTGCTGTATTTATGTCCCTCCACAGATTCGAAGTAGATACTTTGCCCATCGTCCGGTAGCAGATTCTTATTTCTTGATACTTATTCATTCTCATTGCTTCTCCGTCTCCAATTTGAGTATCATCCACGTGCTTGGCATTACCCGCTGAAGGAATGTCCGAGTGGACCGACAGGAAAGCAAACAATTGTATCTAGAACTATAGTGTATCAAGGTGCACAGAGGAAAGGACTAAAACTCGACGTTAGTGTTTTGAAGCTACATAGGCATTTTTCCAGCATAAAAATAGTGGAGAAGGCAAATTCGGATCCGTACAGGAAAGCTGTGCATCACAGGGTCAACTAATTGAGAAAAGGCTGAGTAGTAATTACAGGTCTTAAAAGTTCAAGCTTGGGTCGCTGGAAAAGATGAGGCCGCCGAAACAGAAGCCACATCACGAACTCCTTGCCCTTATGACACGGTGAGCGAGTAATGGCGCTGGGCAGATTTACAATGTAAGCTATTCTTTTGTTGGAGAGGGGCAGATTAGTTGCTGGGGAAGAGCAGGGCAAAGCGTTGAGACGAGGAGCCATTGGAGAACTCAAGAAGATTAAAGACAAGGACTGTTGTGACAGTGAGCGTCCAAAAGAAATAGAGTTCTATAATATTAGGAGACCAGACCGTCTGATAATTGGTTGCTGAGGACAGCTGGGTAAGAGAATGGCAGGGGCAATAATGATGCGTTGTTTTATGTTGGGGGAGGGGCAGGATAAACGTGTATTTTACTAAATGGCGTGAGAAAGGGTTGAGGTGGGCTGTGAGACGAACTTTTTTTTTTTCTGCAGAAAGTGAGTTCAGCTTTCGACTTTGTGAGTTTGAAGAATGGCAGTTCTTAACTTGAGTCGAGGTCTGGGGAGGTGAACTGACGTTAGAAACACCACAGGATTATGTGATCTCATCAAGAGGACTGCAGTTTCAAAACCACTTCTCCTTTCTCCCTGCCTTAACTTGGGAAAATTCCTTGAGTGTTACATTAAAAAAAAAAAAAAAAATCCCAATTGAAAGGTTTCAGTGTGGTCCTATGTGCCCATCCATAGCTCAGCACTACTACTTAATGCTTAATGGTGAGAGGATCCTAAAGGTCAGGCTTTTTATTTTTTTTTTTTTCAGTACATATGGGGAATTGAACCCAGGACTTTCACACTGAGCTACGACCCCAGCACTTTTTTATTTTGAGAAAGGGTCTTGCTAAGGTTCCCCAGGCTGAAATTGAACTTGCAGTCCTGCTACCTAAGAATGCTGGAATTCACTATCACACCAGCTTAAGGTCAGGCTTTGAGTATGGTAGCGCTCATTCATCACTATAAACTCATAAGATGAAATATTACCTATGTTGATATTTTAATAAAAGTACTTTAATGGTTGGCAGTACCTTAGACTACCACAGACCAAAGGTTGAGGATGACGGGCTGCACAAATATTTGCTGAATGGAGGACCACAAGGAGGGTGACTTCAAGAGCAAACAATAGGAACACCATGAAAGACAGCCTCAGATTCATTAGTCAGCCTGTCTCGGCAGTCCCAGCTGTGCTAACCTAGCATGATGCAGTCAGAATAGTTCATTTTGAGCAGAGGCTTCAGAAAACCACAAATAACAAAAGCCCCATAAATAATAGCTACACAAGCAAACCAAAGACTAATTACTAGTTTTTGCTCTACGTTCCTGTAAAGCAGCATTTTTTAAAACACAAAGTGAAAAACAAATTCATTCACACACCTTTAGTTCTTAGATGAAACACATTATTTTCAATGTTCCTAGAATAGAAATTCTTTTAGGTGTGTTAAGTGTATAAAAGGTGATATACTGAACTAGAACTGAAAATAATTAACTTGAGTCCCTTTTTTATTAGTTGGTCACCATTTTGACCTGACCCCAGCGAAGTCACTTCACCTTTCTATGCCCTAGTTTTTCTGGCTATAAAATAAAGATAATAATAACTTTCTACCAGTCTGCTTCTTGGAGATATAAGAAATAAGAAATGAATGCTCTAAGAGCTCTTTGAGGTACATGGATGAAAGGGTGTAATTATAAGTACATATTAATCATTAGCCCTAACATCCAGTAGAACTCATGAGCATTCCTAAATTTGCTCCCTGGGCAGCTCAAAGAACATGAAAAATCCTGTTTTAGAATAGGCTTAGATCTGTCTCCCTGTTTCCTGATATCAAGCCTTTATTTTGCTCTTTATTTGTACTTTGCCTAACTCAGAATGAGAGGTACTAAAAAAAAAAGATACTGTACGATGTTTAAGCTGTGTGTTTGATTTCACTTACCATTATATTTTCAAGGTATCTATTTTCCCCAGATGTGTCAAATTTATTCTGTGTAATAGCTAAATGGGAAGGGATCTAGGAGACAGACGGAGGGGGAGGGAAGTGGAAAGGAGAAGAGGAAGTAAAAAGATTTAAGATGTGTCATGTACATATACCAAATACCCACAATGAATGTAAACGTTACATGCTGTAAACATGAACTAAAAATAGCAACAAAAGTGAAAATGAGAAAAGGGGATTTAGAGATGCAGAGAGGGGTGGGTGGGCAGAGAAAGGATTAAAAAGAATCAAGCTGTGTTACCTACGTGTACCTACTTTCTAACATGAATGTAAACATGTACTGCAGATGTGTACAAATAAAATAAATAAAACATAAAGTAGGCCTATGTTTCTTCTTGACTTGTGAATAAGTAAAAGAAGGGAAGTTGGGGGCTGGGGATTTAGCTCAGCAGCACAGCGCCTGCCTGGCAAGTGCAAGGTTGTGAGTTCAATTCCCGGTACCAGAAAAAAAGCAAAACCGAAAAAAAAAGAAGGGAGGTTTTAGTAACTACAATTCTTAGGTCCACTATTACTCATAGCTAATATATGCTTCTTGGAGAAAATAGGTGAGTGTGGATTCGTCAGTCAGGTTTCAAAACTAATGATTCGTCGACTGCAGTCATTTAGCTGGAATTTTGTGTTAAAAGCATTGCTCGTATTTCTATAGAATAAGTATTTACATGCGGTTACATGTTTGAAACAGAAAGATGAGCATTTCTGCAAACCTGCCACTGGCAGTACTGGTTACTCAGAAATACTTAATGAAGTACATCGTCCTGTGAGATTTGTCCAATGTTTATCCCTAAAGTAGGTGAATGTTTTCCATTAGATTGGTGGCTTCAGAATTTCTTTTTTGACAGGCATGTGCACATATAAACATTTATAGTCATAACCGTAGATTACATATTTATAACATCACAAAAATATATGAGGGGCTAAGTAATCCCAGCAGTCAGGAGGCCGAAGCAGGAGGATTGCTGCAGGTTTGAGTCTAGCCTGGAATACATAGTGACACTGTCTCAAACAAACAAATATATATGAGGATACATTAACTATATGTCTAGTAACAACAAAACTTCATAGATGGATTTGGGGTCAAGTAAGAAAGTTGTTTAATAGCAGTTTGTTGCCATCAGTGAAAAAATAAAGTACATGTTTTATTATAGCTGTTTCTTCCTGCATGGTGTCACACATCAGTAGTCAGAAAATATTTTTAGGGGTGAATAAAAAGTATATTGTGATGTTTAGTTTTAAGGAGAAAAAAAAGTGATCAGCTTAGAAACGTTCAGGGACATGGTGAGTACAGTTGTCCTGCCATTCAAGTAAAGGTAGTGTGCTCTGGTTCTATACTGGTGGGACCATTGTCTCACTTTCAGGCTAAACTTTTATTGACACCATGCCTTGGAGAGGGCTAGACTTAAGTAGATGGTGAAGATGACAGTCACCTGTAGGGTAACAGGATAATGTATCCATCTGGGCTTAGATATGCCAGATGACCTTTCTGTTGACACACAAAGATTGGGATAATGACAGTTTCTGGTACCTAGAATCCACCCTTCTCATCCAGCCCGTGGGCCCCATATTGTCATACTGGCTCTCTAAGGAGGTTAGAGCATAAGACCTGGATTAGTGGGTCCCAAATGCAGCTACTCAACAAAATAGCCTGCATCACGTTAAGGGAAATTCGGATTTTAAAGTCCCTCTCTGAATAATCAATTAGAACATGTTGGGTGAAGCCCAAGGCATCTGTCACCGTAACATTCTCAGGTTCTAAAGATGACCCAGATTTAGAAAGTTCTAGTTCCAGTAATTTGTTCAAGGTCACACCAAACCCTAAATATAACCAGAACTACTGTAACTCAAATCTTATGAGTTCAGTTTGGTTTCATTGAATTTTTGCTGTCCTTTTACTGTTTGATAGGGGCAAGAACCCAAGGTGGGGAGAAAAATAGCAATTTCTCTTTTTATTACTTGTTAACTATATTCTGTTACATGATTTTAAGATTGAATGGGCTAGTATCTGCAGAGTGCTTAGAACAATGGTAAGTCATGTGTTAAATAATAGGTCTCTACTGTTTTAGCTTTCACTTTGCTAGGATTAAATTAGGTAAGATTGTATTAGATATTAATATTTCCTATGTACAAAAAAGATGGCATCCTCAACCTTCATTTGTCATGGAAGCCCTTCACTTGTACAGCTGAAGATATTTCTATATTATTTCTTTTAATAATTTCTGGTATATTAAGAGAAATGTTTTTTTTTTTTTTTTTGGTTTTTCTCCGGTACCGGGAACCGAACTCACGACCTTGCGCTTGCCAGGCAGGCGCTTTGCCGCTGAGCTAAATCCCCAGTCACTAAGAGAAATGTTAATGATGTATTTATAAAATAAAATTTTGGAAAAAATATGATACTGTATATTTATATTCTCTTAGTTAAGAGATGGTAGGACACATGGGATAAGGTAATTTGCATTGACCTTCTTTCACTGGACTAGTTCCAAAATTGATTCTTATTTTTATGTAATTAAGTAGTCATTACTTAGAAACCAATGTCTGCATAGCTTGATCTTCCAAATGAAATCGTTCCCTTAAATGAGGTAATAGATATGCTTGATTCTATTTAATTCCTTTTCTGCAGTGTTCTTCGATCTTTCTGTCTTGAACGTGTTTTTACACTTGCTTATTATAACTAAAATTGAGTTTTTATTACTAGTAAATGAAGAACCCAATTTAATGTTTTAAAGTGCTCTTTGATACTTTTTGACAAAGTAGGTGAAAATTACTTTTGGTCAGTATCTGTCTCTATGAAAACTGATAACCATTTTAGGTTTTGTTTAATTGTATAAGCTGTATTATTTTTCAGAGGGATTACCACACACTCTTGCATCAGTTTTTAGAGGCTCCAATATTCTAATGTGGGTGTGTATATATACAGAATAGCTTCACATCTTTGTCCAGAATACAATTTAATCTTTAAATAAATTTTGCTAAAATGAATTATATCATAAATGGATTTTTTCCCCGGGAAAGTGGAAGTACGGGTAAAGCAGAACAGAAGATATTTATAAAGTTAAGAGCCATCTGGCAAGTAGAATAAATTAGACCAGCAGGTACAGATCAGAGAAACCGGAAGAATCAGATGCCATCATTAATGAAGCAGCCACGGAAGGGAATTAGGTTTCCAGTAACTGAAGATTAACTATACAGTATTTCAGACATTGCACCAGGCATCTTACAAAAGAAGAAACGGCAGGCGAGGGCCCATAAATCTATGTGGTTTGTCTTGAGAGTCAGAGAAAATAGTATTAAGTAGGACATGTGAGCACATTTTATTTTTCTTTGTCTTTTTTTATACTCAGACTATGTAGTTTATAAAAATTCAGTGGAAAATGGGATAGTCCATGTTAGTCATTACTTAAACTTAACTTTTAAACCTACTGATCCTTTCCTCCTCCAGGCTTTTTATAAGACCATTATTCAATCTGTGTTTTGGATATCAGCTCCTGTCTACTTGGGGTCCTTACTACATCAATTACTCTTGCTGTTGGGTCAACTTCTCACTCTCTATTGGCTCCCCTCCATTAGCATTCTCATTCGTTTATAGTGTCTCCCTCATGCATATTATCCTTTCAGCTTCTGCTTGAATCCTTGTCCTTTTTACTAAACAAAAATTTAGAATTGTCT